CGCGAGCTACGTGTTAAACCGAGCCGTCATTCGACCGATACTCATGAAAACGCCCTATGAATTATACAAAGGGAGAAAGCCAAACCTTTCCCATCTTCGAGTCTTTGGTTGCAAATGTTTTATTCATAATAACGGCAAAGATAACTTGGGAAAATTTGATGCCAAGTCGGACGAAGGGATTTTTCTCGGTTACTCACTTCGTAGCAAGGCCTATAGAGTGTTTAATAAACGTACTTTGACTATTGAGGAGTCCCCTCATGTTGTGTTTTCCGAAGATAATACTCGCTTGGCGAGAAAGGCTATTTGTGATGATCTTGCATATTCACTTGAAAGGATAAACATTGAAGACGATGAGGAAGACACGCCATTATACACCAACCCGCAACCACAACCTGAGGAAACACCTCAAGTGATGGTCGAAAATGAGGAAACCGAGCTTCCCATCGCTTGGAGAACGCACAAGAATCATCCACTTGACCAAGTAATCGGCAGCATCAACCGCGGGGTAAGTACTCGTAACTCACTTAGAGACACCGTAAGACACATGGCTTTTGTTTCTCAAATTGAACCTAGAACCATTTCCGACGCAATAAACGATGAACATTGGACCTTGGCTATGCAAGAGGAGCTAAACCAATTCAAACGGAATGACGTTTGGGAATTGGTGCCAAGACCCGATGATCATACGATTATTGGTACGAAATGGGTGTTCCGTAACAAACTTGATGAAAATGGAATAATCACTAGAAACAAAGCTAGGCTCGTAGCTAAAGGCTACAATCAAGAAGAAGGCATTGATTTCGAAGAAACTTATGCTCTTGTAGCACGTTTAGAAGCTATTCGTTTACTTCTTGCTTTTGCTTCGTCTATGGATTTTAAACTTTATCAAATGGATGTTAAGAGTGCCTTCCTCAATGGTTTTATTCAAGAGGAAGTGTATGTTTGTAACGCCCCAAAACATACCCTAGAATTATTAATGAATAAATAATCAATTAAGACTCATGACGTGTTTGAACAAATTGGTTTTATTCAATTTACCTACTGACAATGACGTGTTCGCTAATAATACAGTCTGCTGACGATATGACATATCAAGACTCATGAACAGTTAGATTCGCTGTCCTGAAATACGTTCAAATCCAAGATGAAAAGTCAAATGGCTACTGCCCTGAAGACATCGACCCCTTGAGTAATTGAAAGACTACGTTACGACATATGAATTGAAACAAACTGCAATTGTGCTTATCAAAGGCCATTCAAGAGTATTGAAGAAATTTTCAATCGATTCTGTTAACCAAGGACGTACAGATAAGACTCGTAACTGAACGAAGTTATGTATGTCATGTATGCAATACTACACACTATGAAGGAACTTTTGTCATCAAAGGATCAATGAAGACCTTACTTAATCGAAAATTGCTAATCTCTCGAAGATTGAACGAGTTTGGTGAAATCAATGACTTGAGAATACGTATCCGAAAGATAGCGACATAACCATATGAATATGAAACGGTCATGATCAGTGAGATCATTACAAAACGTTAAACGTTGAACCTAAGAAGAATTTCGAGGACGAAATTCCTTTTAAGGGGGGGAGAAATGTAACGCCCCAAAACATACCCTAGAATTATTAATGAATAAATAATCAATTAATCACAATTGTTTTGATTAAAATAAATTATTGTTGGGCTTTGGGCCGATATGAAATTTGTTTTGACATCTAATATCAAAATCTGGATAAGTCTCATAGAGATAAATCTAATATGTGGACTATTTGTGTAGTCTTGATTGGAAACCTGAGTACAGACCCAAATCAAGAGTAAATAAAGAATTTGTTTAGAATGTAAATATTGAAATGATTTGTTGAAATAAATCATGAGAATAATTGATGTGAATTAAATGAGAGAACCTTTTATGAGGAAGGTCAATTAAACCAATTTTGACTCTGTTAAAGTCAAACACCCAAAAATGTGGTGTCAGAAAAAAGTATAATGAATGAATATAAAAATTATATCGTTGGATAGAGTTCGACTGTCTGATCGCAACGGTGCAAACGGATTTTAATTCGGAGAAAGTTGGACCAAAAAGTGTACCCCGACTGGGACCAAATTAGCCACAATCAGGGAAGATTCGTAGCAATCAGCTGACCTTCCCATTTCGTCGATCGTGAGTCACCACTGACTCAACTCCATCAGCTTCTTCTTCTTCACCAATATATAAGGAAGACCTCTCTTCCTTCATTTCTTCACCAAACCTCTACATTCTTCATTCTATTCTGTTCTTTGTTGAGAGAGGAGTACAGTGGTGCTATCAATTTGGTGAGAGGTCGCCGGAGCTAACCACAAACCTCGCCGGAAGTTTCGCCGGAAAATTTCCAAAACCTTCGTTAAGCTTCGAGGTAAGCCCGTAGATATATCTAGTGACTAGAATGTTCGTATAGATCGTTTCTACGTTCATAAACGGTCGTTTGGTTGAGTTTTGTGTTTGACATGCTTGAAGAACCAAGAATCATAAACCTTGAAATTGATGTTAAAACTATAAATTAGTGATGCTAAAATGATCTATGAACCTTGGAGAACATCTCTATATAGTTTCGTTGAAGTTCGATAACTAAAAACGGTATTTCCGAAATTGGAC